CCCGTTTATAACATTAGAGAGTTGTTGTCAAACAAAAAATATTGGGATAGTTCTACAAATTAGATTATATAAGACAGCTTCCACAATTCCATAATAGAGACTTCCTTCATTAAGCCCTCTCAAGATGTTCATATCACAGCTTCCATAATTCCCAATCAACACAGCCGATCCCATGATGATTATGAAATATTCAAAAATATATTTAAGAGTTTAATTCAAAGTATTCCAGTCCTCCTTTATCATATTGATCAATTCTATCCTTAGACACCAATTCCTTGATTTATGAATCTTGATAGACCAGAAAAGTTTCCTCCATAATAAAATTCATAGTCACTGCAGAAATTCTCTTTGGGCAGAAGTCGCATGAGATTGCTTCCAGCAGTATTTTTCCATATACTATTAAGTATTAGGAAACAATCCATCAATCAAATATCCACAGAGCATTAGAAAGCTAGTGGGCACCTACAGAGTTATTTATAACATAAGGAGTAATAACAAACCAGGATCTGAATATTGAATTTCCATTTGAATAAAGCTCAGCTTTCCTTTGGTATTTCCTGCTTTCACTTTTTTATGGCAGATTTGTAGTATTTCAAATCCTCAGGCATGACACCTTGATACAAAATTGATATGCAAGCATAGGTATAGTGAATGAAGCACATGGATTTCCTTCGCATGTCTTACTCAAGGACTCCACACTGCAAAATATTATTATCTTTAATGGTATTAATTCTGCCAATTCACTCTACAAAAGTGCTGAATCTCAGACATCCACAGAGAGGCAAGCTGGTAAACTTAAATCATAATATCATAATGTTAAAAGAATAACTTATCACTTGAGGCAAATATGTACAAATTACATTTGTATCATGATGGCAACATGATGCTGTTTTGGTATAATCTAGATGGGCTGCAAGTCCCTGTACGATGAATTTACAAATAAAATTATTAGATCTGCAATCTGTTCTCCTGCGTGCCAGTGTTAAGCGAGAAATAGCTCCTGGCAAAGTAGGCTTTCCTCATGGCTTAAAGTGGCTTTATCCACCAATCTATAGCTGGCAGGAAACAACTTTATGGAGGAACCAGTTTTTAAACAAAGCATTAAATCTTACTCACATGAAAGACTTATCAGTCTTCCCATTATGAAAGCCAGTTCATAAGCAGAAACTGAATACAGGAAGGACGCAGTCTTTTAAAAGTGTAATCTGCTTGGTATGCTCCAGACGTCTTAATATATTAGCACCTCCTTTTTGGTTTCAGTTTTGAAAAAAGCGTCATTTCCTTAAACTGTATTATTCTTTCCAAAATCATATTAATAAATTGATGGATATTAAATCAAAAGAGAGTGCTAGTGGAGCAGGTCCATCTCATAAATTTAGATGCCTTTTCCATCATTTTACACCTTCAGCATAATGAAACTGGTAGACAACCCTATTTAAACAATCTTTGAAGTATGTAATATACAATTATTTTTTTCCTTAGAACTTTTGATTTAGGATTATGAAGTCAAATACTAACGTTTAAAAATGGCTGATTTCTTGAATCAGAGTCATTATATTATTTGCTCTGAATACCCTTAATAATAGAAAAATTGCTTTGGGGTTGCTGTTTCACACTAGAGACCAATTATTTACTAGGCCTTTCCATTTGCTCCCAAGAGTTTAGCTTTATATTCTATATCAATTTTGTAGGAGGAGTTAAATTCCTTTTTTGTATGGCAGTACAAGGAAACAACAGCCAGCAACTTAATAGCCAGTCATCAACACCCCAATCAACATTTAAAAAGCCACCCACAACAGGCACCATATAAATGCCACACACATAATAGCTCAAAGCACACATTATTTTAGAGAGAAGTTCCCTGAGGATGGGCTTAAGCATGAGTCTGAAAGCTCGGAAGACTAAATCTCTGGTCCTGGGGACTGACCCAGATTGGATCCTGCAACATTATCCTGGGCCACATATATTTGCCTTCATTCGTAATTAAATTCCAGTTTAGAAAATAGAAATGCTTTATGTAATTCCAGTGTAGATTGTAGAATTATTTTTTTTTACTATGTACTCAAAATTGCCTTAACTTTATTTATAATTTTCATTTATGCCTGGAGACTGTAATCGACTTTTAAATCTACTGTTCTAATTAAGAGCTCTCATACATGAAAAGTTCTACAACCTTCTACATTTGAGTTCATTTTAAATCTTTTACAATAAAAATACACGTTGTTGTTAACTGACAATAGTAAAAAGTATGGAATAATATAAATATACCAAATACATAAGCAATACATCTACCATTTTTCTGATCTAAAGAATAAAGTTTGTGCCTCATTTCTATAAAGTTCTGCTTCATCTCATCCATCATGGTTTCTAATCTACATGAATTCAATCTTTCTAACTGAGTGTAAGACATGAAAAAGAAATAAGAAGTGACATGTAACTTTGTGAAAATTAATTTCTGACTTGTTTTCTTTGCTGCTTTATCATGTGGTTCAAGAATGAATTCAGCTCTTGCTGTTCTAAAAATTTCTAAAAGTTTCTAAAAATTGATTAAGGAGATTATTCAATACATATTCCCACAGAGCAATAATTTAAATGAAGAAGAGCAAAGGGAGTTTTCTATTTACCAATGAAACAGTCAAAAGGTGATGGGATAGCCCCTTAAACTGGCAGAGAAGCAAAATCATAGATTCAATTCATTTCTCTGCAAAACCACAACTCTCATGTATCTTTTTAATGGTAATGAAGAAAGCAAGGCAGACAAGTTTTGATGGATGGCTAGAGTGGGGGCGGAGCTCCTAGCTGCTGACCCCAGAGCTGGAGGAGGCACACACTTTTTTCTTCTGCTCCTCCTCCCAACCTAAATCAGCTGCCAAAGCTGGAAGGGTGTCAGAAGAAGACTAGAACAATTCTTTACCTGCCAGGTCTCCAGTCCCAAGGGTCAACTCCTTGGGATCAAAGATCTGGTAGATCAAGAGGGTTCTCTTTCCATTTCTGCTAGCTGTGCCAGCTGATCTCTACACTGACAAGGCTAGGAGGAGTAACAGAAATGGAGATGTCCATTCTTTGTCCCAGGTGCTTTTTCAGCCAACCTGAGAAAAACTGACAGAGGCCAGGTGGGATACCGAATGGTAAAGTCATTACCCCAATGACTTTACCATTCGTTTGAAAGATGGCTCATATCATGATCGGGCTGTTTTTAAACACAAGTTTAGACTTTTACAGAAGAATACTAGAGCCCACATTTAAAAATAGTCTGACAAGCAAGAGGGGGGGAGGCTTCTTTACAGCTTACCTTGCAACCAATTCCACCTGCTCATCTGTCAGCAGTTAAATCAATCTATGTTTAAAATAGTGGCTGGGTATTTCTGGAGGAATGGTAAATCTGTGTTCAAAATCAACTCAACAACACTTATCAGGCATAGTGGATGCATCCATGCAGTGACAGGAAGATAGCCTTTGTGCTCTCTCTCATTTTACCTCATTTCCCACCCACCCCCTTTGGTAGCTGTTGGAGATGATCCAGGTTTCTGAGCCAGGGATCAGCTCATAGGACTGGTTGGTCCAAGGGGGAGCCTGGGTTGAAAGAACTGGACTATCTGACTGACCTCAAAAAATGTCTAAAATGTCTGACCTTGAAAAATGACTATGCCCAGGCACTGAAGGATGTGTCGCCTAAAAGTTCTGGGTTGATTCCACACCTTCCCAAGATTCACCTAACAAGTTCTTAGACCATATTGCAGAGAGGCATGTCAGTCCACACCAAAAGCAAGATTATTCTGACTTGTTGCTTGATTAAGAGGGGAAAGACTTCTGTAACACTAGAACAGCAAGGAGAACTTCAAGGAGCCACTGAGGATGAGATGACGGCATTGTCACAAACAGGAAAAAATGTTGCTGTGGCACCCTCATGCTGTGGTTAGGGTGCAAGCAAAGAAAAGTCCACTAACCTTTACAGTATAGTGATACAGTCTACCACAATATTCAGGAAATTCACAATGCCTCAAAACCATCAGTTGAGGTATGCATTCAAATCAGACATGGTGGCCTTCATACACAGAGTAATGTTTATTTTACACCAGACTAGAACTACAAACGAAACAAGGAAGGTTGATTGCAATCAAAGAAACATTTTCTCAAGAAAAAAACAAAGGATTCCATATAAAGAATTTAATTAAAATTATACAGTTGAAAAGAAAATTATAAATATCTATCAATGTGAGAAGTTTCACACAAAACAACAGATTGCCTAACAACAAGGGGGGCAATGGCATTTCAACAAAGATTGTAGAGTGGAGGGAGAGGATGAGATGGAGCAGATTAATGGTTAAAAAAAGAAAATTAAAGTGTTTAAACTCCACATGGAACCTTCTAAAGGATGCTAAAGGAAAGTGAACGTGATCTTGATTTTAAAAAGAAACTATAAAGAGAGCTGAAAAACATGATACACATCAAAACTCTTCTCCTCTTAAAAATAATTAACTTAGCAAATGGAAAATTTTCAGATGCATATCAAAACATTCAGTTAATATAAATATTTATATTGAAGAGATTACTGGAAATTAAAAAGCTACTTTTTGTTCAGGAATATCAAGTAGAAACTCAGGGAGAAACTTCGAACCTCAGACTTCTCTCAATGGCCATTGCACATTATCAAAGAAGAAGAAATTTTAAAAAATAGATTTGCGTAAAATGAACAGTTTTGCATAAATTGAACAATCTGCATAAAATAATCATATGCAAACATAGACAATATATACATCTTTTGTGCAAAAAGGAATTTACTTTTGTATTCTACCCCAGTTAAGCCGTTCTCGCTAACCATAAAAGAGAGACTGCAGTGCCATTATTATGTATTTATTTATCTAATTTACAGTATATAGCCACTCATCTCACAGAATAAGCAACAGTTGGTGGCTTACAAGTTAAAACAATGAATTCATACTTAAAATCATATTTATTAACAATTAAAAATAAAAACTACCAAAAAGCTGAGCTACATCAAAAGTAGACAAAGTAACTCGTTTATTTATTTATCTAATTTTTCTTCTGTTTTGAGATTTCAGGTCTCGTAAAAGGTATAATTATCAGTTACTGCATCACTTAGTCTGTCTTTTCAGTTTGTACATTCAGAAATCTCTCAGGAGAGCTACTTATACTCCGTTCAGGAATTCAAAAACTATTATTGAACATGTAGAAATTGTGTCATATGCAGAGATATTTTAAACCATGGGATGATTGCCAGTTGAATTGTTCAATTGAAATCTCAGGAGGCTGCCTTTAGAAAGGAAGGGAGGAACCCTAGCTCCATTACGTAGATTATGTTCCATTAACTGTGGCGGTACAAATGGCAGACGTTCTTCGAATCATTACTGTAAAACATTATAAAATGACTAATATGTAATTCTAAGCAAGCATAATAGAGAAAGAATCAGAAAAACACTGACGGTAATCTTGATGGAATAAAAATAACCAGAAACACTAGCAGGAAATGAAAGCCATAAAGCTCATGAAAAATTTAGAAGGCAATCCCACACTACAGTATAAAGCACATTTTGTGAAATACAAACAAATAGTTCCAATATATCCATATATATTAATTGGCCTTACAGATAGAAGAAAACATTCACGATTACAAAACTATCATTAATTAATCTACTTCTTTACCGGTTTGTGAGGTCTGCTGAAATCCTGTTTTCCCAGATGTTAAAATTAATAACCCGGAACACTCTTTTTGCAAAATTGTAAAATCTTTCCCAAAAATGTTATTTACGTACCTTATGTATGAAGTAATTCTCCTGTAGTAATTTGAAATTCCATGATTTCCTACAGATAATAGATAAGAATTTGGACAAAATATTAGCAAGAGAATAGAATAGAATAGAATAGAATAGAATAGAATAGAATAGAATAGAATAGAATAGAATAGAATAGAATAGAATAGAATAGAATAGAATAGAATTTTTTATTGGCCAAGTGTGATTGGACACACAAGGAATTTGTCTTTGGGGCATATGCTCTCAGAAGTGAGATATTTGTTAAGTGAGTTTTCCCCCATTTTATGACTTTTCCTGCCACAGTTGTTAAGTGAATCTGGCTTTCCCATTGACTTTGCTTGTCAGAAGGTCCCAAAAGGGGATCACATAATCTGGGGACACTGCCACCATCATAAATATGAATCCGTTGCCAAGCATCCAAATCACGTGACCAAGAGGATGCTGCAATGGTCATAAAGTTGTAACTTCGAAAGGTCACTAAATGAACTGTTGTAAGTTGAGGACTACCTGTATATGATTGCTCTGTGTACTCTGGCTGCATACTCCAGCCCCAATTTTGCCATACTCCAAAAAAGATTTCATTTAGATCAGTGTTTCTCAACCTTGGCCGCTGGACAATGTGTGGACTTCAACTCCCAGAATTCCCCAGCCAGCAGAGCCCCAGCTCTGCTGGCTGGGGAATTCTGGGAGTTGAAGTCCACACATCGTCCAGCAGCCAAAGGTTGAGAAACACTGATTTAGATACTGTCAAATAATTTACTGAAATCCATGTACATTTATGTCTACTGCGTTCCCATGGCCAGTTAAACTAGTCACTCTATGTAAAATAAAATCAGGCTGGTTTGGCACAATTTCTTGTTGGTAAATCCATCCTGACTCCCCAAACAATGCTTTCCCCCCCTAAATACTTATAATTTGAGTGCTTAATAGTATGTTATAGAGTTTTGCCCAGTGTTGATGTCAACCTGATTGGTGTGTATTTATTGGTTCCTCTTTTTCTCCTTTTTTGAAGACAGGAACAATTGTCCTACTCCAGTCAAAATGGCAGGTTTGCAATTTGTTTGACTATCCATTCAATTTAAAGAGAACCTTCTAAAATGTTTGATTTTTACTAATCTGCAAATACCAATGTGGACAGTACGGTGCTTACCCCAAGGTAAAAGTAAATTTCAAAACTCATAAACAACCTATTACACCAGGCAAGAAGCCCAGAATTTCCCCTTCTTGAACCATTTCATCATTGACCCATGCATTTAAGAATGCAGAAAATCACTATAGCTGTTTCCACAAAAGATGAATGATTGTTACATCAAATTGCCATCATTTCAGTCCTGTATCTTGATTTCAGTGGGAGAAAAACACTTTTTGTCATTGCTATTATAAAATCATTGGTAGCCAAAACCCTTTTCCAATCTCCTAGAAATCACCCAAAATCTATTAACAGTGTTAACATCTTGCAATTACCAGGAGGAGCCTGTAAGGAATAGAAATTCATTGACATCTTCCCTTAGGGCTACCTTTGTGATAAGAAGTGATTGCTAGTATATCGACCTATTTGCTATTGCTTAAATAAATCTCTCAGTAACAGAAGGATTCAGCAGTCTCCTGTTCTCTACTATTACATTTTCCCACACCACCCCCAGCCCTAACTAGTCCAGCACAAACAAAAGACATGGTGGGAAGATTTAGTCTGCTGTGACTGAAGTTCTTTGTGTTTAATATCAACACTCAGACAATCTGGAAGAAACCTGAGTCTGGGAAGGTAAAATATCCTACCAACAAAACAAAAATGGTGGCTGGGTGGAAGCTTCTGTGATCTGCTCTGTGGCTCTGTGGTTTCTTGGTGCTTGGTCTTATTTTTTCCTCACCTACTATACTTGTTCGGGCTTTGGGGGAGTTGATATCTTTCCTTTATGGGTGATTATTCTCAGTTCTGGCTGTCTCATTTAAGAAATGGCCCAGATAATCCCCTTCTGTTGCCCTTGTTAAAGATGTCTCCCAATAAAAATAAGATGAATCAAGAGAAATATAGTGATTGATCAAGGTTTTCTTTCTGAAGTCATTCATGAAGTGAAGAATCTTCCTTTCAATGAAATCTATCTCCTTATATTTGGAAGAGTTTTTGGCATACTCTTTCAGAATCCAAACTCATCCATCCAGATTTTTCTCACACTTTTTGTTGTATTTTTGGATCAGTTAACAAGAGCAGGCTGCTTTTCAGTAATTTTGGGCCATTTCTTATTTATATACCAGTTATTTTTGTGTTTGGTGTGTGCAAATTTATGTTATGTTAAATATTGCTCAAAAGACACTTGACTCTTATTGTGCTATTGTTTCAAGATGGAATAATGCAGGAGGGATTGAATTTACATCATAGGTAATGTGAAAAAAGTTAAATCCAACTTGTTGCTACTCCTTGCTGTCAATCCCATTTCCTGAGAGTGGATTTGGGGAGGGAGGCAGCTAATTTAGCTCTGCTTGTATGACAGCTGCCTGGTTGTGAGAAATGTCTATGACAGTTTGAAAATTTTGACCCAGCGAATGGTTGCTAAGGTAATTGCCCTTCCACCTCCTCATTACACCTACAGAGCATTGATATAGTTTGTGAAACGTATGGCACACAAATAGAACTATTTTGCGTAGCATGTGGGATGGGGTGGGAGTGTCACAATGCCAATATGTTGCTGAGAAACTGGAGGAGGAAGAAGCTGTAGCTAAACAACCAGTTTCTCAAACTTTAAGTACAATTGTATGTCTATTCTGTAGAGTCTAATAATGTTATCACAATTGGTATTTGATCAAGAGGTCCGTTTTAAAAATCAAGATGGCAGTTGCAACTGCACATTTGCTGTGCCAGCTTGGTTTGTTTGTTTGTTGCGGACACTCCCATGTTTGATGAATAGAATGGTCCTAACACTATTTTCTATATCGCTTATTGAATTTGGAGTATGAAGGGTGTGTATGTGTGTATATCTAAATGTTTAAGAAAATTACTCAGAATTGTATGCACGTGCATTAGCAGTGAGGAAGTATGTAAACAGATTTCAGTTTAGGTCCCAAAAGAGCCGGGTACATGGTTCAGTTCAGAATTATGCATCTCAATTATTGGCAGATTCCTTGATAGGAACTTGCTTCCATCTTTTCATTCAAGATATCAGACATTGTCATACAATCCTAAATCACATGGACATCTTGTTCAATTGGAACTTTTGGTCAAGAATTAAGTGACTTAATTCTTCAAATACAGTAAGCAACTGATCCTGGAATAGAGCTGGGTTTATTATGTTTATGTCCTGCTCATTTTTCAACATCTCAAATGGGTTCTTTATTTTCTTGATTTAGATAGAACCATATGCCATCCCCAAGTCCTTCTAAAACCTGTGACCAAATCGTAAACTCAATTTAACCAAAGGAGAACGCTATTAAACACATATCTAATAAGTAATAGTGCTAACTAGAGAACATTGAATACAACTGAATTTAAATCAAATTTCATTTTTATTATAATTCCATCCATTATTTTGGGGAGCTCAACTCCCCAACTCAAAGGATAAATATGGCCCTTGCTCCAAGTAAAATTATGTCCACAGATTTAAAACATATTCAACATTAGGTGTAACATGGTTGCCTTTTGTTTTAAAATGTAATACTTAAATAATTGGGATATAGTTGCAACATATTTTCTTATGATCTGCTATGACATACAATATATGTGTGTGTGTGGTTTTTTTTCTGTCGAGACACCTGGTACAAGCTGATGAAGGGAGGAGAACTTGTGACTCAGAGGTTAATACAACTGCCTAATATGCAGGCAGCCCAAGTTCGAATCCAAGTAAGGGTATGGCTAGCTGATGAAAGCTAAATAGCTTGAAATAGATCTATACTAGTCTCCCTTTATTTCTTTATCAGTGAAATATAAATTTATATATAGATATAGATATAGATAGATAGAAGATAGATAGATAGATAGATAGATAGATAGATAGATAGATAGATAAATAGATAGATAGATAGATATTGTTAATATGGAAATGTATTGTGAAAAAAATAATGAAATAAAGTAGTGAAAAACAAATCTCATTTAAAGTTAACAGAATATTATATAAAATTACAACACTGTATTTGAAAACTCAAAAGACCTAAAGAGTATTTTGGATGTAATGCTCAATGTCCCATCCCCAAGATAACATGTTCAAATCATCCTTTATAGGACTGATTTGTTCACAGCTCCCCGTGGAAATATCCCATTTCAATCATTTATTCCATTCAGAGGAATCCAATCAATATTTCACATATCATTCTTTGTTTCTCAATGCTACCAAGCCTGCTTATCCCATTAATAGATTATGTATTGAGATGAGAAAGAGGGAGGAAAAATGATTTATAAGGTAAGGCCTTGGAAATCCTTGCTTTCTGAACATTGAATCTACTTTTGACTACATAAGCTGTTTTTACAGCTTCTTTAGGAACTTTACAAAAATAAATTAAAAATTAATACCTTTTGCACATAGATAAAAACGCATGTTCTTTTGTACATTGGTCATAGTGACCCATCTAATAGTCAGGCTGACCCAGAGAAATTCTAATGCCTAAATAGGTGCTTATCTAAGCAACCTATTTCTTGGCTGCTCTGCCTGTCTCTTATCTGTAACCAGTCATCATGTGAGGTGCAGCAATGACCTGTACCAAGCAAGCAAGAACAGCCTGAATTAGCTGGTCTCCATTTTCTTCTATCAAAACTCACTCATAAGAATACTATCTGTAGCTGCTGATGTTGATATCCTAATTACCTTGGCAATTATCACAGTTTGTTACTTTCTGGCATGCTTAATCCTATTAAATCTTCATCTGATATAATTGGTATTTTTCTAATCTTGTCAAAATACTGGCATCTTTACTGCAGGGATGAAATCCAGAGGTTCTGACAGGTTCTGGAGAACCGATAGCGGAAATGTTGAGCAGTTTGGAGAACCGGCAAATACCACCTCTGGCTGGTCCCAGAGTGGGAAGGGAATGGGGATTTTGCAGTATCCTTCCCCTGCCATGCCCACCAAGCCATGCCCACCAAGCCACACCCACAGAACCAGTAGTAAAAAAAAATGAATTTCACCACTGCTTTACCATATAGCCTCAATAAACATTTTGGCAACAACTGCTTCTTCTTAACTCTGGAAGGCTGTGTTAAATTTTATTCTGCTGCAATGCTTTCTCTTCCCCAAGTTTGTCATTTTGATCAACTGGAAGGCAAAATCATACTTGGTCAATAAAGAATTCTATTCTATTCTATTCTATTCTATTCTGTTCTGTTCTGTTCTGTTCTGTTCTGTTCTGTTCTATTCTATTCTATTCTACTCTACTCTACTCTACTCTACTCTACTCTACTCTACTCTATTCTACCTACTCTATCCTACCCTATTCTTCTACTCTACTCTATTCTATTCTACTCTACTCTACTCTACTCTACTCTACTCTACTCTACTCTACTCTATTCTACTCTACTCTACTCTACTCTACATTACTCTACTCTACTCTACTCTACTCTACTCCACCCTATCCAGAGAGAGAGTGCACAAATCAAATGTCTGCTGAAGGCTAGGTCACAAGACTTTAGATGCCATTGAAGGAAAACCACTGTTCAGCCATGTTTCCACAGCCAGGGGAATATTTGAATGCTTTGTTTGGTGCTGAGGCTATAGTAGCAATGGGAAAAGTTCTCTACAGGACCATCAAAAAGCTTTCTTGAGTGAAAAAGCCATTCTTGTGGTTTGACCACTGAGATTATGAAAAAAGAGGGAGCTATCCCACTACTTTTCCAGGTTGACATTCTAAAAATGTGCTGGTGTGCTGAGGTTAATAGTTTCTTGAAGTCTCAGCAAGCATAATCAAAATCTGGGTTGGGAATTCTGGAAGTTGTATCCCAACATGTTTGGAGGGTTGTGCCAGCTTGGAGAAGGCTACAGGCTACAGGTTACAGTTTTAATAAAACAATGCTAATGTGCATAAACTCTATCATTCAAGCTATCTTAAATTCTTTTATTCTACATCATCCAGGAGCGTGAAGAAAAGAAACACTGCTTTTTGGTACATGTTCACCTAGAAATAATTCCCTGGATTCTTAAGCCTATTGTAAAGTGCACAATGCATGACATTTAACCTGGAGTTGCATGAGATGATGACATTTTGAACATGATTGTGCAAGAAAGCCACAAGCAAGTCCTAATTGGTTCATGAGTGCATTTGCTTTGGCACATATCCCATCCATGCTGAATATTTGGCCATCCTAAGAGATTGCTACAGCCCGCCTCAGTTCTCAGCAATTAACTGAGCCTGATGCAGTGGCTGTATGTGAGATGAATGGCTTGCTTTCCTTGGGGTCTATGTTGAAACAAATTTCAGCCCAAAATCTGCTTTCAGTACTACATATAAATTCTGAACTATGTAAAATAAGGTGTGCATTTGAAATAATGTGGGCAGAACATTCTTCCATTCACAAATCAAATGCATCCCTTATGGATATAGGATTTATAAGGTAAAAAGAACAGATTGCCTTGACTGTAATTCCTTCTATTGATTTAGAATGTAATGTTTATTTCTCGCGCTAATCTATAATATGATTTGGTTGATTTTGGTTTAGGGTGTTATGTAAACCAACCATTCTGGCTTAAAAGAATTAATAAAAAAACATACAGAAAAGGCATACCTCTGCAAATCTGGAGAAAACCAGATAATCCTGTCCTCACATGTGTGAGATGGTTCTTCCCTCTTTACATCATTGCTCCTCCCATCACCGCTCTTGACATTTAAAAAAACAAAAAAGGCAGCCTACAGCCATAACAATATTCTCCATAGCTAACTTAGTGTAAAATATGATCCCAACTAATGTGTAAAGTTCCCTTGAGCCTCATGGGACTCTCAGGTTTGACACAATTTAGATGAACGGCCATTAAATGTTCTACACCAAGGCCTTGCCTCATGTTTATCAGTTACCAATTCCCCTTTTTCTGAGCAGAAAGTTCTATTCCCGACAGGTTTTGTGTACAAATGCAGAAAAAAAGGTCTAGTTTCTTCAGAAAAGCTTCAGGGAGAAAAAAGAACTTACTTGGCTTACTGTGGCCTTGATATGAAATATAGTGTTGTCAGAATCTGGGGCAACTGAAAATGTTAGCTGGAGACAGTTACTAAGCAACAGCTGCACCACGGGACATGAGTGAGCAGACAACTCATCATTCTCTCAGCAGCTTGGGGTCTTTGTGTGTGGCAAAGGAAGCAGATGTGACATTATGAATGCTCACCTGTATGACGTAAGTGGCCTACATTTGAGAAAGTGGCTGAGTATTACTAGATAAAATGATATTTCTTGCGTGTTGGATGTTCATCTCCTGTAGAGTAAGTAAGTAAGAACGCCTGACACAAAGCATAAAACGTTCTTACTTTGTCACTTAATTTGAAAGCTCAGTTGCTAGCAGGAAGCTCACAAATTGCCATACGTTATAATGTTATGTGGGTGTTTGTCACTTAGTGTATTATATGATGGATGATCAAAAGTCCTGAAGCAAATGGAGAAGGACCACTTGAGCCAAGAGGAGATTCTTCTATTACTTCCCATGGTATACATTCTTTCCTATGTGACTCCTTTCTTGGTTACCCTCGTGCTGCTTCTCAGGCTAATAAGCAAAATAGTTATCCTATAGATAACTATAGGGAAATTCTTTGAGAAGCTCATTCTGAGGTGACCTGAGTGTTGCCACCACAGCTATCTAACAAGGCATCACACTGAAGACCTTTTAAAGCAAGACCTGTGTAGTGACCAGCAGAGAGACAAGCTGTTTGGTTTGAAAGAGGGGTAAAATAATTCACCTATGTTAGAATTGAACTGCCCTCCCTCAACAGAAGGGGAAGACTAAGACACCACTTATCTCCAGTTTACAACACAACCTTTGCAGCAGTTCCAAGGTGATTCCGCAAACAATTGCACCTTGTTTCAGGTGACCCTGAGGGCACAGATAAACCCACAAGTGGCATCAACAGCTCTCAGAGAATGCTAGCGACCAGATGACTGCAAAGAAATACAGTCCTTCCATTCCCCCCCATCCTATCAGAACCTATCCTTCCATCTCCCCACCATCCAGTCTCAACACTCAGTACTATCCTTCCATCCCCTCCCCCGCCATCAGAACTGATGAAGCTTCTTGGATGAGAAGCAAAACATTTTCTTCTTCTTCCTCAAGGGGAAAAAAAACCCAGCCCGGTTGTCTTTTGAAGAAAAAAGCCCCTTTGCTATAACATGTATTATTTGTTATTTCAAAAGTTCTTCCATGTTTGCAGGGCAGTCCTTCTCATTCTGCAGAGGAGAGGCTTGCATTCCTCTCCCATAGTCCTGGTCTGATGGCATCGATGATTGAGTCTTCATTGACATATTGCAAGTCATTTTGGAGAGAACCCCTGAAGTTGGTATGGCAAGAGTTGGTACATTCCAACTATTCTCTGAGTCTCCGCCTAACTAATTTTGCTCAGACTGATGAAGTTGCTTGGATGAGCAATGAAACATCTCAGATTAACAAAGATTGGTCCAGATGCCATGATCAAACCTTTAGACACCTTTGGCCTGGATGATTGAATCTTCATTGACATAGGTAAAGGTAAAGGTTCCCCCACACATGCTTGCTAGTCATTTCTGGTTCTAGGGGGCTTTAAGCCAAAGAGCCAGCACTTTCTGAAGATATCTCTGTGGTCATGTGGCCGGCATGACTCAACTTCGAAGGTGCACGGAGTGCTGTTAACCTTCCCACCAAAGTGGTCCCTACTTTTCCTACTTGCATTTTTTATGTGCTTTCCAACTGCTAGGTTGGCAGAAGCTGGGACAAGTAACGGGAGCTCACTTCGTTACGTGGTGCTAGAGACTCGAACCGCTGAACTGTTGACCTTCTGATCGACAAGCTCAGTGTCTTAGCCACTGAGCCACCACATCCCATGTTCATTGACATACATCAAAGCAAATGTACACAATTGTGTTTTCACAGAACATATAGGAAGTAACAATTTTTTAAAAGTTACACAATAAAAATTTGGTTTAATAGGCTTTGGTTTAGTAGATTTCAGACATAATGAAAACAATTTTAATTCAAACTTCACCCCCATTTAATAACTAATGTCCATTACATTTGAGGATGTGCTTATTAAAAAAGATGTTACTGCTGCATTTGCAGTAATGACAATTGTAATTGTACAAGGGATATAAATTCATGCAAATTATCTAATGGATATTCTGAATTAAAAAGATAACTCTCCCTGAAAGGTTCATTAAATCAATATTTTTCTACATACCTTGAGTATAAAATTGGGAGGGGTTAAGGACTCACATTTACAAGCTTCATATCAAAAATATCATATAAATGACATCTATAAAGTTCATAAAGAATATACCATATTGTACAGACCTGCCATGTCCCACCAGCAGCCCATGGGCCACATGCAACTCTAAATAGCTAGTAATATAGCCCCCTAAAATCATAAATTTTTAACATTATTATGTGATTTATATACATTACCATATATAGCCGAGGTGGCACAGTGGTTAGAGTGCAGTACTGCAGGCTACTTCTGCTGACTGCCGGCTGCCTGCAATTTGGCAATTCGAATCTCACGAGGTTCAAGATTGACTCAGCCTTCCATCCTTCCAAGGTCGATAAAATGAGTACCCAGATTGTTGGGGGCAATATGCTGACTCTGTAAACCGCTTAGAGAGAGCTGTAAAGCACTGTGAAGCGGTATATAGGTCCAAGTGCTATTGCTATTACTATAAACCCAGGCAGTGGTGAGATTCAAATAATTTAACAACCGGTTCTCTGCCCTAATGACCAACTGGGTAGGCATGGCTTGGTGGTCATGTGACCGTGTGGGCGTGGCCAATTCAACATCACTCACATCAATGGGCGCTTCACCTTAGTTGTTACAATGTAATAAGGGTTAACCAGAGAGGCAGTTTCTGTAAGCAGGGCAATAAAGATTAGGCTAGAAATAATACCAGAATGTTTCCTTCCTGCCTTCCTTAAAGGATTAGCCCTGTAAGTGGAAAAAAATAAAATAAGATTTCTTCTAACAACTGGTTCTCTGAACTGCTTAGAAAGTTAACAACCGGTTCTCCCGAATAGGTGCGAACTGGCTGAATCCCACCATTGGACCCAGGCAAGGCAAAATGTTGGACACCCATAGCTAAACCATTGATCCATAGAGCCTACTTCAATCAACAATGATCAACAAACCAGCCTTGCCTATGTTTATACACAGGCCGAAATAAACTAGCAGGGTAATTGTTTGTCCCGTGACGGTGAAAACATGTTTTATTTTTACATTCTGAGGACAAAGTGACATGTTTCCATAATAAAGATTTGTGAAATGAACGCATGTGCCTACATCTTTACCTATACATCAACTGATTGATAGCCCATGCTTCATCAATTTTTTTTAAAAAAATAAATCCTAGATATTTCATCCAAAAAATTCCAGTGCAAGTTATCATGTTGCAATAGCCAGTTTTAACAACTGCTGTTGCATGACACTATGATTTGAAAAGACTTGCGGATTGGCTAATCTGCTACTATTGATTTGGAGTTTGGTCTCTTCACATTAACCTTGACTCCACCTGCTCTTCTCTTATCAACATAGTTAAAATTCATAGACAACCTCTCTTTCCCCGCTTTCCTTGCTGAGGACTACTTGCTGAAGGAAATTTTTGTAGCAGACGTAGCTTTGGGGGTTTTTTTTTTCATAAGTAAAGGTGATTATAACATAAATGGAGAGATTATAGTTATTTAATTGTTTATTTTACTTGAAAAAAAGTTGAACTTCTGCATTTCTCTCTGGATTACAGTTCTGGAAGTACTATTCTTACTGCTGCATTCTTGCAATTAGGATTGAAAAAGAAGAGAGACTTTTTCTGTTTACATGTGAATCTTTGACATTCCATTGCGTCTTGCTGTATCTAAGAATCCAAGAAGATGGTACGCTACTTGCCTTTTTTGCTCCAGAGGAAACTCAAAGCCACCCTTTGTCTTTTTCTCCTTATGGTTGTCCTGATACACATCGTGATGGATTTTGTGCCCTCTGCTGATTATACGTCCTGCAGGTGTCTATCTAAAGCCACAGGTACCTTGGACCATTTATCACCCAGTTCCTTATTAGCAGCTCAGAATAAGCTGAATCTGAGGAATCTTCAGGATTTTAGTAGCAGTAACAGCTCCCTGGAAAAAGGAATTCACTCAACAGAAGGTGTGTCACATGTAGGTGGCCTCAGCAATGTGGCTCTCCAAGATGTCAACATCAAGCAACAGGAAACCAAAGAAAACCCCAGCCAGAAAATCAAATCCAAATTGTCTGCTCTTTTTCATCATCCTCTGTATAAGATCCCAATCCCAAAAGTTGCAAAGAAAGACAAACTATTTGGGATCAAGCCAAAGATGAATCTCTTCATACAAAGTAGTGATGAACGGTGAGAGATCCTCTTTTCCTTCTGGATGACTCGCTCAGCTTAACGTGTTCTCTTCTTAGACGAGTTTGTGTCTATTCCTGCCCAGATTCTATTATTAAGTGCATAATATTTTCTTTCCCCATTTTGGAAGAATTTTCTTCTCAGTAGGTTGTGTGGATAATTTGATTCTGACTCTTCCCTGAGGCACAACGCCCCATGTGAGATAATATCACCCTCTCCTCATTAGTGATCACAATTGGTTCAAGCAACGTTTCATAAAGTGAAGTGGTTGCTGAATGAACATGTGAGTAAGAGAGAGAGAAAGAGGAAGAGATGGTGTGAAGATCACTGTTGGTTGCCATTTCATTTAGATGAAATTCTGTCCTACAGTCATGACCCATTTTCTTCCTTTTTTGCCACTATTGATATAAGAAGTGTATGCCCACCTATTATGGAAAGAATTGTAATCCTAGCAGACATGGTTTTCTACCATGAGTACTTCCTAAAACCTCTATAATAATGTCTAACAACAATATATAAAATCAGTACTGAAAGCATGCATGCCAGGTCATGGGATTCAGACGGAAGTACTTTACATAGGGTGTTGTGATCAGATTATTGTAATTTACCTCTGTATATTATGCTGACTTCCAAATGCCCCTTTGTGTTCAGAATGAACCAACATCCTTCTGCTCTTCTTCTCTTTCCAGTTCTTTTC